CATGTCCCGGCCCAAAACTCGGGCGCTGTATTTAGCATCTTTGGGAACAGAGGTCATGCCTTTCCCATGAAACTCGCTCATCTGAGGTGTCCGGACCCACCTCTGCCTGCCTCCGAAGCTGGTTTGACTGCTTCCAGCCAGAGGACAGCTCTGCTTGGAGGGGGAAGCCTGCCCAGATGTGCGCCCATCCCTCCCCGCCTGGCAGGGCTGGAGCTGCCTGGCTGCCAGCGTTAAGGCAGGCTGCCCGACAAAGCTGCCCCCAGTCCCGTCCCCGAAACGAGCGGAGGGCTAGAGGGAATGCCGGATGCAAGGAGGGAGATTGCTCCATACCTAGCTGGACCAGTTTGATGCTGGGGTGCTGGGCAGCTAATTCTCGCAGGGCCTGGAAACAAAGTGATGGAGCGAGGGAGGAGGTTAGAAGTCACCAGCGGCATGGCCAGGTCTCCCACCCCTGCTCCCGGGTCACCCCAGCTGGAGCCGGGACAGGGTGGCTTTGCTTTTGCTGGGCAAGGTGTGCGGGGCCGTTCCCAGCGGACGGGGCACGGTGGCATCCCCGCAGCCGGCAGGAGAATGGGTGCTGCTGGGCTCAGGCATTGCCCCCCCGTCCTGGGTCATCCCAGCATGGAGAAGGGGTTGGCCGGCCATCGGCACGGCCAGGAGCAAGCACTGAGGACATGGGCACCACGTCTGCCCCTCCAGCCTCATCCCACCCGGCTGGGTCAGGCAATGCCATAAGCACGGGCCTGGGGGGTTATGAGACCCCCGCCGGAGCACTCCTGCCCCCACTGCCGGACCACCGAGCCAGGGCCAGATCTGGCAGAGAGCCGGCAGAGCTGCTGGGACCACAAATTCCCTTCGCCCTCCTGGCTTGGGACCATCCCCATGCCCTGCGCCTGCACTGACCTTCCCTCTCGGACCCTCGGGGTCGCGGCAGGTGGCAAAGATGTGCTGGGGGGGCCGGGGGCTGGCAGCGAGCTGCCTCTCGAGCTCCAGCCCGATGCCCCGGTTGGACCCCGTCACGAGGACGCTCCGAGCCAGTGCAGCCATCTCTGCGGCCTCCGTGCCGGGCGGTGACACACGGCAGGATTGCCGCCTGCTCGGCGTGAAGAGGAGCTGGGCACAGCCCAGGGTGTGGCTCCGGGCACCCACGGGGACGGGGACGTTGCCAAGCACCAGCCCTGGCCCCTTGCCTGCCCCAGGCAGAGCCAGGGTCCCAGGGTGGACCAAGGGCTCCCCATCATTTTGCCACATGGGGTTGCATGTCTCCTGCATTACCCAGCACCCCACCGCTTCACTCCTCTAAAGCCCCAGCTCCCAGAGTCCCTATAACCACAGGAGAAGGGTCACCTCTACCACGAGCTTGGAAGAGCATTTGGAAACACCAGCAGGAAAGGAAAACAGGTCCAAATCTGGCTGTGGCCAGTGATCTCCCACTTTGGGGGGTGAGTTTGGGATGGTTGAACCCAGGAATGCTAATCCAAAGTCCAGCCTGGGAAGCGCAGGGAGGGCATGTCTAACACTGCGAGCTCAGCTCGTGCCGATGCTTTCACCCAGAGCACCCAGGAGCCAACAGAGAAGACCCCCAGCTCCCTGCAGCCCAGTCCACCCACTGCTGGGGCACCAAGCTCATGGCCATCAGCCTTCTCCTTGCTGGAGGACAATGCTGGATGCTTATCAGACCAAGAGGTGCCTGCAAAGCCAAAGCTCCTGCAGCCCAGACCAGCCTGGGAGCATGGATTTTTAGGTGGCAGAAATGAGTAAGGTGCTAAAAGAAACAAAAAGCTGCCCTGTAAAAAGCCTCAGCTGAAACGGAAGAATTGGGGCAACATGAATTTAAGGTGGGGGAGGAAATAAGAAGAGGAAAGTAGCGGGGACGGGTCTGTCACATCTGGATGTGCCCAAAGGGACGCATCTGTTGCCCAGCCTCGCTCAGCCTGGCGGAGGGGACAGAGCTGACTATTCCCCAAGTATTTGAGTGGGTCCAGGCCTGGCAATCACCAAAGAAATACTAGAGCCAGCAGCTGGGAGATGGTGAAGGGATTCCACGCTTGGAAGATGTGCTTTCAGGTGACACAGAGCATGGAAAGGAGGAAGCAGTGATGTTTCCTTCCATCTTGGTGGGTAGACTATGGCCTCCGTGAGAGGTAAGCGTGCTGGGTGTGGATTTGGATGGTGTTAGACTCAGACCCGCTGTAGCAGGCGTTATTGAGGGTGTAATCACCCGCGCAAGCAATTGCACCGCACAGACTTGCCCGCTCCTGCTGCTATCTGCAAGCAGCATTCAGAGCAGAGTTCTCATTAGGAACCAACAAGACTGGAGGTGCCTCTTTTCCTTCCAGGCTCCTTGGGAAGCAGAGAACAGACACAAGCGAAAGAGGGCTGCTGGACCAGGAATGGTGGGAATGGCCACGGGCCAGCACCGAGCTGGGGAAGGTGAGCAGCAAGCGACCTCTGGAAATGGCTAACCGATGACAACCAAGGCCAAGAAGGACAGCAGCGCAGACATCCTCATGGCTCAGGAACCACAGCCTGGAGGCCAGGAGGGATGCTCTGGGGAAGATATGAGAGCAATCTACAGGATCCCAACGCTGTAGAGGCACCTGGGGAGCATTCAGGTTGGAGAGGACCTGGGAGGACTCTACTCCAAGACCCGTCAGGAGGAGCAGGGTCAGCAATGACTTCAGATCAAGTTGCCCAGGGCTTGAACCCTCAGAAACCTCCAGGGACCCCGCAGTCTCCCTGGGACCCCATTTCAATGCTTGACTGTCCTCACAGTGAATTTTTTGTCCACACGGCACCTCCCCTGTGTACGGACGGTGCCTCTTGGCCTTGGACTGCATGCTCCCACCCCGTCAACTACCCGACTGCATGACCGGAGCACGTTCGCAATGCAGCGAAAACCCTCCCTGCGTCTC